CGAGCGCGTCTCCGCGTGGGCTCGGCCCGCGGGGGCGGGGGCGGGGGTCCCCACCGGCGCGCACGCAGCCCCGCCGCCGCCCTGCTGCCTCTCGGAGGCGGTCCCGCGGCCGCGGGCTCGGGGAGCCTCTCGGCACTTGCCCGGGGGCTGTTCTCTCCCGTGGATGCTGGGAGGTGCCCATTAGATGATCTTCGAACCCCTGGTCTTCCTCCTCCGCCTTTTCCCCTCTGACTAGGTCCCCCCTCCAGACGCTTAGAGGCCAGTGAGTAGGGCGAGCACGTTGGCTGCACAGACGGAACGGCCGGGACACGGTGGGGGGTGAAAGCGAAGGCCTGGGAGGACTGGGAAACGCCAGACTTTGGGGTTTGATGGGAGTTGCGTTAGAGCCTTTTCTCAGGCTCTGTGAACTCCAGAACCAGAAAGGCAGGGGTGAAGGGCCCGGGCTAACGAGAGCCGCCGTTTACTGAGCAGCTACTTCGTGCCAGGGCGTGCTTGCTACTTCACCTACGTTAGTCACTTCCCCAGCGCGCCGGCGCACTCACTCTCGTGCAAGAGATGAAGAAACAAGGACTGCGCAGCCTAATGTCCTGCGGAGTCAGCGAGTTAGGCTTCAAACCCATGGCTTCCGAGTCCAAAGCACAGGTTCTTTCCAGATCGTTCTCTGCCGGCTTCCCAGCACCACCCCCGACACCCTTAACAGATAGTTTGAAAAATGGAGGTTTGGGCAAGATCAGGCTTGTGCAGATAAGGCATGCTATGAAGAGGGTCAGGATGCACCAGACACCAGGATGCCTTTTCTCTGAGCATAAGTCTCCCCCGCCCCCCCAAAGAGCAGGGGAAGGAGGGCGGACAGGTACCTCAGGGCTTCTCTTATGGCAGAACCCGCAAGCAGCCCCCAGGGCAAACGGGAGAAAACAAGCCTATGTCCTCGTTTTCAAATGGCGATTTGGAAGAATGCTCGGAGGGACACACCAGGAGTAAGCACATTATCTGAGCTAGGGCTGTCCTGATGGGTGCTTTTGCCAAATGGACAAATGTTAAAATCAACATTCTTCCAAAGCAGAAGTTGAAATTCTGCTTTTAAGTCTTTCTTACAAGATACGATAATTCCCAAGTGGGTTTTTTCTTGAAGGTCTCAGGCCTAAATGTAATTACTTAAAACTTAAATAAGAGTTCTTAAACATCACTTTGTTTAATGTTATTAAATAGTAATACCTTAAAAAGTTGTATACATATTAGAATTATTACATGATTCCCATTTTTCTCCCTATATTGTTATTTAGGTTTTTAGAAATAGCTGGCCAATGCACTTTTTTTTTGATATCTTTGTTAATTCCAACTTATTTTTCCATGCGTTTGACTATTTGAACATGGTAATTATTTTGGGGCATAGAATAAACAGCTTCCCAAATCATCATATATTACTGCATTTTACAATTGCAGCGCTAAATTTATCTTTTCCCCAGCTCCTGAAACTTCACTATGTAAAACACACAGAGATTTTTATCCAGATCACATCTAGAATGCTTCAGGTGAATATGCAGATGTTTGCAGTAAGTCCAAATGGCATTCTGTGAGTGACAGCTTAGTTTTGATCACAAGATACTCAGTCATAAGGCCACTGACCATAGACAGGTTCAGGGATGCCAGGAATGACCCTGAAGGAGCCTTGCCTCCCAGAGGCTGAGGATGAACCTGAAGCTGGAGTCAGGTTTTGAGTGGTCAGGGTAACGCTAAGTACCCGGGCATCCCCTCCCTGTCTGCATATAGTGTCTTGCTTCTTATCTGTTTCTCTAGTTACCTTGTAGTAAGTAAGGCCTAACCGGCCGAAAGTCAAGGGGTCTGAGAAGAGAGTATTTCAGCAGTAAAATTAAGGACCTTACTTATGATTTTTTTTATGGTCTCTATTTTAAACAGTTTTTGGAATATATCCTTTTCGCTATATATGTTGGAAATTACCGATGTTTTCTCGCACTTTTAAAACACATATGCTCGTATGACACTTCTGTTTTAAAAAACGATTGCAATTCAAGCCATCTGTTGATTGCAAACTCAGAGAATCTAATAATAATCCAGGCCTGTACCAGGTTGGGGGATCTTGCTAGAGGCTCCGCCCCCACTACATTCACCATGTTGATTTGGGGTTCCCTTACCAACGGGACCCCGAATCCTTCTCTAGACCCACTCCTTTTTGTGCAGCATCTCCTAGAGTGGGGTTCCTGCAGCAGAATCGCCAAACTCCTGGGTTCTACCATAGCCCCACTAGGTTTTTCAACTTGGCTGTTAATCCTTTTTTGCAAGCCTGTTGCCTCTCTTTGGGGGAGGGGTAATGAAATCTACATAGTGACAAGAAGAAAAGGAAAGGACTTCCTTTCCTTTTGTTGCCATTATGGAAATTAGAGGTTGGATGAGGAAGGTCATTTGGTAGCTACTTCTGAGTAAGCCAGGAGTTGTTCTTGGAAAGCCCTCCAGTAGAAAAAGGAGGCCTGCGTTCATTCACAGTTATACACATTGAAATTGCTCGTGATGAGAATAATACAATGGACACTTTTCTCGCCATGGGCCAGGCAGGCTCTGTGTTATGAGCACTGTTTAATGCTTCAGTAAAGATGTGGAATTCTAGGTTATGAATATCAGTTACTCAAAACTAATAAATTAAGTATAAATATAATAAAAAGTACATTACATTTTTAATATCATGACCATTTTTTTCTCTGGCTGGGCTTATACAGTAGTCCCCACTATCCATGGGGGGCAGGTTTCCAAGACCCCCCGTGGATGCCTGAAACCATGGATGGTCCCAAACCCTATATTCTGTTTTATCCTATACATACGTATGATAAAGTTTAATTTATAAAGTACGCAATTTCATGGATAGAAGATTCGTTCTTACCTAAGTAGATCTTAGGAACGTCAGACTTTTTTCCTTATTAGGTGGAGAACTTTCACCTTTTCACTTAAAGGAAGCACTTTCTGGCTTCTCTTTGGCGTTTCTGAATCACCAGCATCGCTACTCTTGCACTTTGGGGCCATAATTAAGTAAACAGTGTGTCTTGAACACAAGCCCTGTGACACTGCCACAGCCAATCTGATAACCCAGACGGCGTGACTAACGGACGGAGAGCATGTATGCAGTATACGCATGTGGGGACGCTTGGCAAAGGGACGAGTCACGTAGGGGCTGCACTTCACGCAAGATTTCAATACGCTCCTCAGAAAATGTATGAATTGTTTATGTTTGGAATTTTCCATTTCATGTTTTTGGACTGTAGTTGACCTTGGATAACTGAAACTGAGGAAAGTGAAACCCAGCATTAAGGGGGGACAGCTTGTGATTAATCAGTGGGTGGTGGCATTTGACCTTGTGCTTGAACCCAAAAAGTGGAACGGTAAACCCTAAGTTTTCTTCAAGCTCCCAGATTCTGTGACTTGATGGAAAGCATGATGACGGGAAATATGCTACCACTACCAGTCTTCCTGCCCTTTAGGTGTATTGCAGGCTGTTGGTTTTCCTTCCTTCTGACTTCTGTCACACGTGGCAGGCACTGTGCTGGCTCTGGGGATACACGGGTGAGCAAAATGGACAACATCAGTCCACAGGAATTTGTTTTCCTATGTGGGGAGATAAGGGGTAAACAAGTAAAAAAGGGAAGATTACTAAGATAATTTAAGCATGTATATAGAGGGTGCCAAAACAATGTATACACATTTAAGAAAGGAAAAAACTATTAAAATTGTAATACTCATTATATATCGATAACGTAAGATGAATACAAGTCATGTGTGTACATTTTTTTGGCACCCCTGGTATATGGGTTGACTAGGCACTGTATTAGGCAGTGGAATTGCAGAATTGTAGCAATGTTTTGTCTGGTCATGGAGACATAAAAGTTAATAGTTTCCATACAATCTGACTAGTGCTATGACAGACAACAACACGAGGTTGTGAGGTTACATGAGATAAGAGGAACTACAGGTGTGCAGAAGATGGAGAACCCCCATCGTCATGGCAGTAAGTCATCAGAAAATGCTGGGGGGCTTCACAGAAGGCTTTATGGAGGTGCTGAATTTCATGGGGTCACATTATCATTAATATTGTCTTTGCGACAGCACTTTAACTTTACGTGCATTATTTTGTTTTACTCTTCCATGAACCCTGTGAAGTAGGTACTGTTATTGTGCCCTTTCTCAGTTGAGGAAATTGAGGCAGAAAGGTTGGCCAGGTGACACAGAATGAGTGATGGGTCTGTGATGCTGATTTCAGCGAGTCTGCCCAGATTTTGTGCTCTTTATCAGTTTGGGTGGAATGGAATGGTTTGCAGGTAGAATTGTTGGAAATAAAATGGAAGCAGTCCTTGAGGCCTACACCTTGCGACAGACCTTATTTTAGACCCGGAAGTTGTTTAAACGTTTCCACTGAAGCACCACCTTGTTCAGGGGACCCTGGAGGCAGCCTGAAACGGTCACACACAATCACACATTTTGAAGTCTGGGTTTTTCTCGTCACTATGCACTTGTGTGTGTTATTTTATTGCACAAGGGTCTTCAAAGGTTTATTATCATCCCCAGTTTATAGATTAAACACTTGCTCAATTATTACTTCTTGTTAAAAGTTCACAGGTCTTTATGTTGACCTTTCACAT